AGACATCAGGAAACCAGCTAAAAAAAAATACATACCACAAAAGTGTGACTGAAAAGGAGGATGCGGTGGTGCTTTATCTAATGCAAACCTGTAATGGACCAAAGCTGACACAGCAATAATCTACAAAGAAAGGAGGGAAAAAAACATCACTTATCAGACACTACTATGTATTCCGCATTCTCAACAAAACCACCAAGACTATTAAAAGATATTCGTGTACATGAATATAAAAGATTTTAGTACATATGAATATTTTTAACTTTTTTGTTATTAAAGTATTTAAACAAATAAAAACTAGAATAAAATCAACTCTCATATACCCATCATCAACCTTCAAGTATCAACTCAACTGTAGCCCTCTCCACTTCCTGCCTCCCACCAGATTATTATTATTTTTTTATACAAGATTCTTTATTTCTTTTTATTGTTAGTTTCAGGTATACAGAACACTGCAATAGTTATCCTTTTCACACTCACAAAGTAACAACCCACCTCCCCTGTCTACTGCCCTCCCACCCCCGGTATCATGCTTATCTATTACAATTCCATTGAATCCGTTACCGCACTCTACTCCATGTCCCGTGACTATATGTATATATAATTATAGTTGACATACAATATTATTCGACATCAGCTTCAGAAATACAGTGCGGTGGTCAGGCCTCTATATCGACTATGAAGTCCACCAGATTATTTTGAAGCAAAGCCCAAGCCTATCATTTTATCCAAGAATATTTCAGCATGTATCTCTAAAATAGTTTCTCAAACTGTGGATATCTTAGGTCAAATATTTCTTTGTTGTGGGGCCATCCTGTGCATTGTGGGATGTTTAAGCAGGATCCCTGACTGCTAGTAGCTCTGCCCTCCAGCTAAGTAAGAGGCGACCGATCCAGTAAAACTCCCATCCCTGAGTTGTGACAACAACAAATGTCTCTGACATTGCCAAATGTCCCCTTGAGGGCAAAATCACATCCCATTGAGAATCACCACTTTAAAAAATAAGTTTAAAAATGTAATATGATCATCTCAGCTCATACAGTTAACAGTGATTCCTTAAATTCATTAAATATCCAGGCAGGATTCCAATTTCCATGTTTTCCCAACTATCTCAATTTTACTTACCAAATAAGGCCTATACTTTGCAAGTGGTTGATATGTAAAACTATAGGTACAACCCCTTCCCACCTATTACTTCCCTGCAATTTATTTGTTGAAGAAACTGGGTGGTTTGTCCTATAGAGCACCCCATAGTATGGATTCCGCTGCTTATATCACAAGAGTCATTTAACATGTTCCTATTTCTGTACTGCCTGTAAATTCACATTTAAATCTAAACATTTTATCAAAATCAGGTTCAATGTTTTGGCAAGAATACTTTAGAGATGCTACTGATTACGTCTACCAGAAGGCACAGGCAAGGCACATCATGTATGGTTATCTCTATTTTAGTGATAGTAGAAGCCACTGGTAATCAATTATTGCCTAGATGCATTATTTCATTAGGGATTGCAAAGTGGTAATATTCAACTTTTCCTTCATCATATCTTAGCTGGAAACCTATGAAGAGAAACTTACCCTCATCCATTACTTGGTTAGCTAAGGTACAGTATATATTCAAAAAAGTCAAAATAAATACTTGATTCAATCCCTTTGTTTACCAGTTTTCACAATGAGTTGGTTCCCTAGCTTCTCTCAGAGGTGACCAATGTGGTGGTGTTAAGAGTTTACAGAATCATTTGAACTCATGTGTTTCAATCTGTTGCAGTTATTCTTATTGATGCTCAAACTGTCCCATCTCAGGCCAGAAGAAAACTCTTCAAGTTGACTCCTGAGTCCTTCTGACATATCTTCAGTAGATTTTAATAGCACCCTTCCTTTCTAATGTAACAAGACATTCCAGGCTTATCTTGGACATTTCCTGCCCTGAATCAGCCATTTCTCCAGAGAGCCCAATTTCCTTTATTGGGAAATGGTATTGAAACCTCAACTCTAGGCACTAGAGGATGGATACTTTTTTAAAAAATTAATTAAATCTTTCCTAAACACTTCACTATTAACTATGGCCAACTACTGCAGTAACTATTATTAAAAGATCAAATCACATACTGAAAAAAAAAAGAGTAAAAATACTGCCCAAATCCTGCTGTTAAAAAAGATCCCCATCAGTGTCAAAAGAACTTAGAAGCAAACATAAAGAAGGTCCCACTGACCAAAGAGAGACAAATTTAAGCATCAAAAATAATAATAATAATGAATACAATAAATTGGAACATACAGAATATGTATAAAACCCATCAGTTCATACTTATGTCCCACAAAAGAGGAAGCAGAAATAAGTAATGACAAAAATAAATAAATCATTGATCAACACTGCATTATAATGTAGGTCCCCAACTTCCTGTTCAGAAAATTGGTAATTAAAGAGAAAGAAGTACGCATTTATCTCATATCTTTCTTGTATAAACTATTGCAACATAACCAAACAGTGCTGGTTAATGAGGAAAATTTTATTAAAAAATTTAACTAATAAACATTCTAATATTTAACATGCTTAACTAATAAACATGAAAAGGATGACAGAAACAGAAAACCATCATTTTACAACAACTCTTAATTAAATAATTAACTCAGACAAAAATCACTAAAAAATGAAGCCACTAGATCGGTAGATCGGTGGTTCTCAACTGGCAACAATTTTGCCGCCGCTCCCCCCCCCGCATCCCATGGGACATCTAGAGATCTTTGGAGGCATTTTTCGTTGTCACAACTAGAGGACAGGGGTACTAGCAGCAGTAAAGACCAGGGATGCTGCTAAACATCCCACAATGCAGAGCATAGCCCCCCACAACAAAGAATTATACAGCCCAACATATCAGTAGTAGTACCAAGGTTCAAAAACTACATTAGATGAAAACTTGAACCGACTAATCAATCAGCCCCACTAACAGCAGTTTAACTAGACATATGTCTGCTGATATGATACAATATGAAGTACACTGTACCACCTATAAAGTATTTTGGCCAAAGGGTTCCAATGTGAATCTAATCAATCCTTTATCACTAACTAGCAGGGGTCACATGCTTTTTCTATAAAGGGCCAGACAGTAAATATCTTAGGCCTTGCAGGCCATATGGTCTCTTGTCATGACTACCGACTCTGCCTCTGCAGTACAAAAGCAGCTGTCAATCATATGCAAAGAAATAGAAGAAATGCTGTGTTCCATGAAACTTTATTTACAAAAACACACAGTAGGCTGGGTTTGGCCCACAGGCCACAGTCTGCCAAACCCTGGTCTAGAGGAAGAAGTCCAATGACACCATGAAGCAATCAAATACAGAAAATGGGACATTTTATAAGACAACCAACAGATATTCTTCAGTAAGTCAAAGTCACTGAAAAAACTGTAGAGGGTGGGAGGGAGCTGCTTCCATTTAACACAGATTCAAGAGACATAAAATTAAACACCATCTGTGAATCTTGTATGAATCCTGATTCAAATAAACCAACTGTTAAGACATTTTTGAAAAACAAGAGTCATGTGAATATGGACTGAATAGTTTAGATGATATCAAGGAGTCACTGTTAATGTTATTAGGTGTGATAATGACATTATATAAGAAAGTGTGCATGCTTTCAGAGATGCATACCAAAGTATGCAATGACACAAATGTCTCAGATTAGCCTTAAAAGACTTCAGGTGGAAAAAAAAAGGAGGGGGAAATAAACGAATATGACAAAATCCTGCTAAATGCTAAATATGAGTGACTGGTATATGGGAGTTCATTAAATTATTCTTTGTCCATTTAAAGTTCTCCACAATAAAAAATTTAAAAACCGGGCNCAGTGAAGCAACGTCCTCCACAACTAGACTGAAGAACAAAATGACAGCAACTTGTCTGTTCCCCTTCCCCCAATTCCCCAGCGCTGTTCCCATCCGCCCCCAGTTCCCCAATAAAAATCTTTAAAAATAAAAAGGACAGCAACTTGTCTGTTTCCTCCCCCAATTCCCCAATAAAATCTTTAAAAAAAAAATGAAACTGGACCACTATCGTATGCATACATCATACACAAAAGGGAACTCAAAATGGATTAAAAACTTGAACATGAGACCTGAAACTATAAAACTCTTAGAAGAAAACATAGTGGTACACTCCTTGACATCAATCTTGGCATTTTTTAGATTTGACACCAAAATGAAAGGCATCAGAAGCAAAAATAAACAAATGGGACTACATCAAACTAAAAAGCTTTTGCACGGCAAAAGGGGTCCATCAACAAAATGGAAAGGCAATATACTGAATGGAAGAAAGTATTTGCAAATCGTATATCTGATAAGGGGTTAATATCCAAAATATATAAAACTCATACAACTCAACATCAAAAAAATAATAATAATCTGATTAAAAAATGGGCAGAGGATCTGAATAGACATGTTTCAAAAGAAGGTGTATACACATGGCCAACAGGTATATGAAAAGGTGCTCAACATCACTAATCAGGGAAATGCAAATCAAAACCACAATGAGATATCACCTCACACTGTCAGATGACTACAATTAAAAGGACAAGAAATAACAAGTGTTGCTGAGGATGTATAAAAAAGGAACCCTTATGCACTGTTGGTGGGAATGTAAATTGGTGCAGCCGCTATAAAAAACAGTATGAAGGGTCCTCAAAAAATTAAAAACAGAAGTACCATATGCAAGTTCACTTCTGGGTATTTATACAAAAAAAACGAAAACACTAACTTGAAAAGATATACAAGTATGCACCCTATGTTCGTTGCAGCATTATGTACAACAGCCAAGATATGGAAGCAACCTAAGTGTCCATCAACGGATGAACAGATAAAGAAAATGTACTATGTGTACACATACACACACACACACACACACACAATGGAATATTATTCGTCCATAAAAAGAAGGAAATCTTGCCATTTGTGACAACATGGATGGACCTTAAAGGCATTATTTAAGTAAAATAAGTCAGACGGAGAAAGACAAATACCATGTGATCTCACTTATATGTGAAATCTAAAAACAAAACCAAAAACAAACTGAGTTCATAAATACAAAAAGACTGGTAGTTGCCAGAGGTGGGGGTGGGGGTGGGTGAAAGAGGTGAAGGGGGTCAAAACACACCAACTTCCACTTATAAAACGTATAAGTCACAGGAATATAATGTATAGCACAGTAACTATAGATAATAATACTATGCTGCATATTCAAAAGCTGTTAAGAGATTACATCTTAGAAGTTCACATCACAAGAAAAAAAATGTGTAAATATGTATGGTGACAAATATTAACTAGACTTATTGTGGTTATCATTTCACAATATAGACAACTGTCGAATCATTATGCTGTACATCTGAAACTCATATAATGTTATATGACAATTATATCTCAATTTTTAAAGTTTAAAAGATTAAATCAAAGAAAAAAAGAAGAAGAAAAAATAGCCAAGCACAGAACCCAAAACCCTACAATGGTTAAAACTGCTTAGATGAAACATTTGCTATCCATCTAAATCAAAATGGAGGATGTGTACCAATCTTATCCAAAGGAAATCCCCCACCAGTAAAGCTTCGACCAGCATACAATGGAGAAACTCAGCTCACCTTCACAAAGTTCGAAAAGTAAAGATGACCAAAGCTTCCCTCACCGTACTACATACAAGTTCCCTGCCATTCACAATAGCTGTTCACACAGAGACATGCACAGAGGAGGTAAAAAATACGTATATTGAAATGAACTAATGACTGTTCTCTCCCACATATTTTCCAGATAATTCTCATCATTTTCTTCCACATATTCCACCCCACTTACAGGGTAAATCTTTGATAATCATTTCACAATATGGGCAAATCAAACCATCATGCTGTACACCATAAATTTATACAGTGAGGTATGTCAATTATTTCTCAGTAAAACTAGAAACAAGAGTAAAACTTCCCAACACAGCATACTTCCTTCTCTGCTTATTTCCCTAGTCCCACTTTTCTAACACCCAAGAAACCAAACAGGAGGTGCTGCCCCAGTTGATCTCTGTTTCTGGGCTGGAAAAAAATCCCTAGGAAGCATAATAGATCAACAGTGCCATGCCTTTTAAAAAAATGTGGCTATTTAACGGGGTAAGCTGTCATCATGGAATATGCCAGAATCCTCCTTGGAAATGGACTCATGATATGCAGAATTCTGGGGGATTGTTTCACCTGCTGAATTTTATGCATAGCACAACCAACACCAATTTTATATTACTGTGACGCCTCCCAAAGAGGCAAACATTCATTTATTCCTTGGCATCTTCCCTCATCACACAGAAAACTTTGGACAGGCTTTTAAGATGGACTTTTAGAACGACATCATGAAAAGAAAATAATTAAAGCATAAGCTTGACCCAGGGAAAAAAAAAAACTACTCCATCCCAACAGAGTAGCCGTTAGAACAGAAAAAAGATATCAAACTCCTCCTGACTTCTCCTAGAACAAAATAAACCAGCTAAGTAAGAGGCAACCGATCCAATAAAACTTAGTGTCCATAGGTGGAAAAAAAACCTTAATATGCACTCACAACTCTTGAAAACATTTTTAAAACATGTTTTTCTCCAGGCCAGCCGAGTGGCGCGATGGTTAAGAACTGGCTTGGGATGCCAGAGGGCCCCAGTTC